CCGTGGGGTTAGGACAACCCCCACCCCGTGGCTGCCCCCCCCCTCCTCCTCTTCAACCCAGCAGAGAGCCTCCGCGCGTGGCAGTTTCCTTTTGTCTTTTTGTGTGTCTTTGTGTGTGTGTGTGTGTGTGTGTGTCTTTTAAATGAAATGTATAGTACAAATATATGTGCAAATGCCCCTAAAACTTGAGCAAAACCATTTAAAAAATAAAATAAAATTTAAAAGTTCTTCATTTCATGCAAAGGGCATCCAAAGTCTGCAGCCCCCACGTAGGAAAAGGGGGGGAGAGAGGAAAAAAAAAAGGGGGGGAAAGAAATGTGGACAGACGCGGTCGGGGGTTGTGTCAAACACATCGGGGTCTCTGATCGGGGGGGGGGGGGGGGGAAGAGGGGAGGGGCTTCTCCCCGCTCCGCCCCACTCCTCCTCCGGGCCGCCCCACGGCTCCTATGGCACTGAGTTGGACTGGAGCGCGGCGGCCTGGTGGCCCCTGGGCGACAGCTTCTCCTCCAAGTCCGTCTCCGGGGCGAAGGCCGCGACGGCGGCGTCCACTTTGGGCGGCTTGGTTGCAAACTCGGTGATGCTGAAGACGAACTGGAGGCAGCCCAGCTTGATGTAGCTGCCGTGGTGCAGGAGGGCCGTGCCTTCCCAGCCGGCCCCGCTGCCCCCAATCAGGCTAGAGCTGCTGGCTCTGCAGCCGCAGGGAGGCTGGGGCTGGCCCTGGGCCTGGGCGCGCATGGCGGCCGTCTCTTCGCTGGGCGGCGCCGGCAGCAGCGGCACCGGCTCTTCCTCTGCCAGCTTCCGGTTCTTGTGGCGCTCTGCAGGGGGAGAAGAGGTGGAGGATGGAGGCCGAGCGGGCAGACGGGCAGCGGTGCCCCAGACAATCCCACTTGCGCCCACCCCACCCCACCCAGCCCCGTTGAATGGCAGGGAGTCCTCGAATTGGGACCGCAATATTATAGCCGGTGGGAAGATGGGCGGCCGATACATTTGACAAGGAATAAACGTGATCAATAGCACAAGATAAAAATTACAACAAAAAATACTATAAAGTTAAATTAAATTAAAATAACAAAGTAAAATATAAAACAGAGAATACAATTAAACATTAAAATAACAAACTAAAAATGACATAAAATTAAAATTAAAAATGAAATTAAAATTAAAAATAACAAATAGTAAAAAATGAAATTAAAATTAACAAAATAAAAACATAAATTAATAAAATTCAAAATTAAACTGAAATAACAAAATAAAAACCAACATTAAAAAAATAAAAAATAACATAAAGGAAATACAAAAGTTAAATTAAAATAACAAAATAAAAATGTCCTAAAGTAAACAAAAATTAAATTAAATTAAAATAAAATAAAAAAATAACATAAAGGTAAATAAAATAAAACATTAAATTAACATAAAATAAAAAACACAAAACAATTAAACAAACGTTGAGATTGCAAGATAGTTGTTGAATGAATTGCGTCTCATTTTACAAGATTTCTGCCCCAGTTGTTTAGCCAATCACTGCAGTTGTTAAGTGACTCTGTCATTAAGTGAACGGTGATGAAGTTAGTCGTTAAGTGAATAACGAGGAAGAAAAAGAAGAGAATGCTGGGAAATGGTGTGGGAAAAGCGGAGGCCCATACGTGAGACTCTCTCTGCCCATAAAAGGACCCACAGCAAGGAGGGTTGGCAGGGGAGGGTCAGCACCGAGATTATGGGATGGATTTTCCCCAGGGCTTGGAGCGGAGGGAAGGGCTTAAGGAGACCCACTTCGCGGGGGGGGGGGGGTGTCTGGGGGTAATGGGGGTCATGAATATCCAAAGACCGGGGCAATCTGCATCGGAATGAGCTGGACGGGGCCTTAGAGGTCTTCTAGTCCAGCCTCCTGCTCAAGCAGGAGAACCTATACCCGTGACGGCGAACCTATTTGTGTGGGCACGCGAGCCCCAGGCAAACTCACCTGCACTGCGCAGGCGCGCACCTCCCAGCTTTTTTCGGCTTCCCAGAGGCTCGAGGGAAGCCTCTGCAGCCTTTGGAGGCTGACAAACAGGCCCGTTTCGTCATTTCCTGTATTTCCGGAAATACCGAAAGTGACGAAACGGGTCCCTTTTTTTGGCCTCCAAAGGCTGCAGAGGCTTCCCTGGAGCCTCTGGAAGATTGAAAAAGGCCCCAAAATAAGCCGAGAGGCGCGCGCATGCGCAGTTCAGGTAAGGGAGCAGTGGGGTGGGGTGGGGATCATGCGCACATGTGCAGGGGGAATGGGGGGGGGCATGCACGGCCTTCTGGGTGCTGGCACGTGAGCGCGCGCAATTTTTGGCACAGGAGCCCCAAAAGGTTAGCCACCACTGAGCTAGACCGTCTCAGATAAGTGACGGGAATCTGGGCCAGACAGCTCTTGAGGCGCCGAGAACTCAAGCTCCCGAGATCCCATAGGGTGGGTGGCGTATAAATTTGATCAATCGATGGATCGATCCTGTCATTTTGGCCACCCCCAAAAAAAGCAGAACCAATTTGGTCCATAAGGCCTTCCGCCCACACCTGCTCTTGCGTAACTGACACCTGTCATGTCGCAAAGAGGAGGAGGAAGAGGTTTCAGGCACAGGCGGTCCTTGACTTATAACAGTTCATTTAGTGACTGCTTGAAGTTACGCTGGCGTTGGCAAAAGGGACGCGGGAGCAGGTTTTTTTTTCCCACACTTAACCACCATTGCACCCATGGTCACGTGATCAAAATCCAGAGGCTTGGCAACGGACTCGTATTTATGGCGGGGGAAGGGTCATGTGATTTCCCCTTTTTGTGACCGTCGGACCAGCCAAGTCCATGGGGAAGCCAGATTCACGTCACAGCTGCGTGACTAACTTAATCCCTGCAGGGATTCACTTAACAACGGTGGCAGAAAAGTTCGTCCAGTGGGGCAAAACTCCCTTAAGCGTCTTCTGTCTTGCTTAGCGACAGAAATGTTGGGCTCAGCTGTGGCCGTCAGTCAAGGACTACCTGTAACTCAAGGCAGCAGACATCCTAACCCTCCTTCCCTCTCCTCAGCTGTGGTCATAAGTCAAGGACCCTTCAACTCAAGGCCACAAACATCCCTAATCCTCCTTCCCTCTCCACTGTGGTCCTAAGTAGAGGACTACATATATTGAAACTCTAGAAAGGGATGGAACCCGCAGCAGCCAGCTCCATGGGCTGTGGGCATTGAGCGGGACGAACGAGCTACGAATGGCCACCGGATGCAGGGACCTCATTGAGCAATGGTTCTGGCTTTGCGAGACGCCCATGACGGGGAGCCAGCCAGCATCAGTCATGGGAACTCCAGGGTTGCCCTTTGGGCAAGTGTGTTTGTGTTTGTGTGTGTGCGTGTGTGTGTAAGCACCGCTCAGCCACCAGGGAACTTACTGATCACGCTCTGCACTTTGGCCACCATGCTGCTGGGCGGGACGAAGGCCGCCTTCTCCGAGAAGTCGCACGAGTAGAGGACGTTGTCCACCGTGGTGCCGTGCTCGCTGTAGTTGAGCAGCTCGTAATGCTTGGTGTTCTGCGGGAAGAAACTCCGTTGTACCGGGGGGAGGTGGGGAACCAACGGGGGGGGGGGGGGGTCTCGTCGCCCCCCCCCACCTGCCCGTGTCCACCCCAAAAGCAGAGAGTCAGTGGCGCTCCACGTGGGCCCGCCTTCCCTCTTTCCGGACTCTTACCTCGTCGTAGAAAATGCAGGCGTGTTTGCCCGAGACGTAGTTGCAGTGACCGTAGTTTGTAAGGCACACATCCATGTCTGCTCCTGCCAAACGAAGGAGGGGGGGGGGGCAGGACCCCAATCTGGGAGGGGGGGGTGTCACAGGTGGGCCATGCCCACGACCGAAGGCCTGGAGGAGGGAGCGGGGTCAGGCCTCGGATAGCCCTCCCTTCTGCGTTTATTGTGCGTAAATCATGCTTTAACCGCTAT